GGGACCATGTGTCAATACTGTATGCCAAATATCAACAGGCTGTGATAAGTAGTAATGCTGAGAAAAATGTTACGAAAATTTCCAAGCATTGACCATTAATGTCAGAAATTTAACTAAGTTGATAAACAGTAAGTGGATGAGCGACAGACATGAAATCAAATCCCACAATATGGGACAACTTGTCAATGCTGTATGCCAAACATCAAGAGGCTGTGAAAAGTAGTTGCTGAGAAAACTGTTACGAAAAGTTTTTTTCCTGCTCGCCCACCGCCCGCCCGCCCGCCACCCGACATTCACCATACTATAACCCAGGTTTGCACCAGTGCAACCCGGCCAAAAATTATGATTTAGCAAAAAAGACAAATTTGAACAGCTGAAAGATTTCAGCTTCTGTTTTGCAGTAAGAAAATTATTCCCCTATAAAATATGACTTTTATATTGTTATATTTATGACAACCTATGATTTCAGACAGGTATTGTCTTTTTGTGTCTTTTATCTTTTCATTAAATAATTTATGTCAGATTTTGACCTTGTTTGCCCTATAATTGACTGAACCAGTTTATAACTAGATCAAGTACATGTAAACTTCCAGATTATTAATTTGATTATTCCGTGGTACAGTTTTGATAAATAATGGTTTCTTTTCAAACTTCATTTTACACAATATTTTGATATGCAAAGAAAATTTGTTCTCATAGTAAGTTGAATGTCCACAATATCATCTTAAACTTTTACCCCGCTGGTAGCAACAGATTCTACTGATGCGACCAGTGTAGACCAGTGTAGACCAGATCAGCCGGCTCATCTTTGTGGTCTCTTCATGGTCTATACTGTTTGCTATTTGGTCAGTACATGTACGTTTTGAAGTTATTTGGTCAGTACGTTTTGAAGTTATTTGGTCAGTACCTTTTGAAGTTATTTGGTCAGTATGGTTTGAAGTTATTTGGTCAGTACGTTTTGAAGTTATTTGGTCAGTATGGTTTGAAGTTATTTGGTCAGTACGTTTTGAAGTTATTTGGTCAGTACATTTTGAAGTTATTTGGTCAGTATGTTTTGAAGTTATTTGGTCAGTACGTTTTGAAGTTATTTGGTCAGTACGTTTTGAAGTTATTTGGTCAGTACCTTTTGAAGTTATTTGGTCAGTATGGTTTGAAGTTATTTGGTCAGTACATGTACGTTTTGAAGTTATTTGGTCAGTACCTTTTGAAGTAATTTGGTCTGTATGTTTTGAAGTTATTTGGTCAGTACATTTTGAAGTTATTTGGTCAGTACATGTACGTTTTGAAGTTATTTGTTAAGTACCTTTTGAAGTTATTTGGTCAGTATGTTTTGAAGTTATTTGGTCAGTACGTTTTGAAGTTATTTGGTCAGTACGTTTTGAAGTTATTTGGTCAGTACCTTTTGAAGTTATTTGGTCAGTATCATGTTTGAAGTTATTTGGTCAGTACATGTACGTTTTGAAGTTATTTGGTCAGTACCTTTTGAAGTAATTTGGTCTGTATGTTTTGAAGTTATTTGGTCAGTACATTTTGAAGTTATTTGGTCAGTCCTTTTAGAAGTTATTTGGTCAGTATGTTTTGAAGTAATTTTATTGGTACCCTTTGAAGTTATTTGGTCAGTATGTTTTGAAGTAATTTGGTCAGTAAGTTTTGATGTTATTTGGTCAGTATGTTTTGAAGTTATTTTAGCAGTATGTTTTTAAGTTATTTGGTCAGTACGTTTTGAAGTTATTTGGTCAGTAGGTGTTGAAGTTATTTGGTCAGTATGTTTTGAAGTTATTTGGTCAGTACCTTTTGAAGTTATTTGGTCAGTATGTTTTGAAGTTACATTTGTATTTGGTCAGTACATTTTGAAGTTATTTGGTCAGTACCTTTTGAAGTTATTTGGTCAGTATGTTTTGAAGTTATTTTTTTCAGTAAGTTTTGAAGTTATTTGGTCAGTACGTTTTGAAGTTATTTGGTCAGTACATGTACGTTTTGAAGTTATTTGGTCAGTACTTTTTGAAGTTATTTGGTCAGTATGTTTTGTAGTAATTTTATTGGTATTTGGTCAGTATGTTTTGAAGTTATTTGGTCAGTATGTTTTGAAGTTATTTGGTCCGTATGTTTTGAAGTTATTTGGTTGGTACATTTTGAAGGTATTTTATCAGTAAGTGTTGAAGTTATTTGGTCAGTACGTTTTGAAGTTATTTGTCAGTAATGTACGTTTTGAAAGTTATTTGGTCAGTATGTTTTGAAGTTATTTGGTCAGTATGTTTGAAGTTATTTGGTCAGTACATTTTTGAAGTTTTTGAAGTTATTTGGTCAGTATGTTTTGAAGTTATTTGGTCAGTATGTTTTGAAGTTATTTGGTCAGTATGTTTTGAAGTTATTTGGTCAGTATGTTTTGAAGTTATTTGGTCAGTATGTTTTGAAGTTATTTGGTCAGTACGTTTTGAAGTTATTTGGTCAGTACATGTACGTTTTGAAGTTATTTGTTAAGTACCTTTTGAAGTTATTTGGTCAGTATGTTTTGAAGTTATTTGGTCAGTATGTTTTGAAGTTATTTGGTCAGTATGTTTTGAAGTTATTTGGTCAGTACATTTTGAAGTTATTTGGTCAGTACCTTTTGAAGTTATTTGGTCAGTATGTTTTGAAGTTATTTGGTCAGTATGTTTTAAAGTTATTTGGTCAGTACGTTTTGAAGTTATTTGGTCAGTACATTTTGAAGTTATTTGGTCAGTACATGTATGTTTTGAAGTTTTTTGGTCTGTACTTTTTGAAGTTATTTGGTCAGTATGTTTTGAAGTTATTTAGTCAGTATGTTTTGAAGTTATTTGGTTGGTACCCTTTGAAGTTATTTGGTCAGTATGTTTTGAAGTTATTTGGTCAGTATTTTTGATGTTATTTGGTCAGTACATTTTGAAGTTATTTGTTTAGTACCTTTTGAAGTTATTTGGTCAGTATGTTTTGAAGTTATTTTTTTCAGTAAGTTTTGAAGTTATTTGGTCAGTATGTTTTGAAGTTATTTGGTCAGTATGTTTTGACGTTATTTGGTCAGTACTTTTTGAAGTTATTTGGTCAGTACCTTTTGAAGTTATTTGGTTGGTACCCTTTAAAGTTATTTGGTCAGTATGTTTTGAAGTTACAATGTATTTGGTCAGTACGTTTTGAAGTTATTTGGTCAGTATGTTTTGAAGTTATTTGGTCAGTACATGTTGAAGTTTTTTGGTCAGTATGTTTTGAAGTTATTTGGTCAGTATGTTTTGAAGTTTTTGGTCAGTATGCAGAATATTCTTGTGTTACGGTACACTAAAAAACAAGAGACATTCTATGTTAGTAAGTTACAACTCATTTGAGAATCATCCATATGATTATGGAACCAATAAATTTTATGAAAATATTTCATAAGATATAGCTTTACAACATTTAAATGTTGATTTACATTACACATCTATATATCATTGTTTAATTAGCAATATGTGAAATGTACAATTATGATGATTGTTTGTTTGTTTGTTTGGGTTTTACGTCACACCGACACAGTATAGGTCATTTGGTGACATTCCAGCTTTACTGGTGGAGGAAGACCTCAGATGCCCTTTCGTGCATTATTTCAGACACGAACGGGCACCTGAATAGAACCAACAATTATGATGAAGACACATGACAAATTACAAAACTTTGTTTACTCATGATCATTTACAACCACAATAAAATATCCCTTCCTGAGTATGTGTATAGACTTAATTGTTTTATTTGCCATACGCTTAATTGTTTATTTTCCATATATAGTAAAAACACAAGTAACAACAAATCATATGATTGTAAAATCTGAAGTCATTGTATTAGCCACATGATGGTACAAGCACTTAAATACAATCTATCATCATGTGAAGTGTTATACAAACTGTACCTGTACAATCTATGATTTTTTTCTTTTCTTTTTAGCTCAACGTTTTTAAAGTATAAATGTGAGCTATTGCTACAGCTATGGTATCATCACCGTCAGAAAACATTGATCATACTTTTTTATTTAATTTTCTTTTTATTTATTTGTACTGTCTTCATAGATGGATACAATTATTCTTTAGATAAGGCATTCACAGTAGACCAGGCTGAACATGACATATAAATGACCTTGAAAGTCAAATTATTGTATTTTATTTGATTTTTTTAATGGACCATCATCATACTTTAACACAACCACCTGTAGGGCAAGACTTTTAAGTCAGTCTTACTTTCATCATCTTGGAAGTCTTGACCTACTTGTTGTGACCTTGTGACCTCCATGACCTAGTAGTTAGGGTAACTGACCTTAAACCAATTGATAGTTGATGTAACGACTCCATGTGAGGAAGCTATGCAGCAAGCTTGATAAAGGTTAATGGTTATACTCAGGTGCCTACTTATGCCTGAAATAATATATGAAGTGACACCTGAGGGCGTCCTTAACCACTTAAGCTGGAAAGTCACCATTTGACCTTAATATGGTTGATGTAATTTAAAACCTAACAAATGTAGATAAATAACAGACCTTTTGACTTATTGAATGTTGCTTATTTTATGTTATACACGGACTCTTTCTTGTACTTGATAACACCCTTGGTTAGCCAAAATCATCTTTCTTGTTTCAACATCATATGACCTTTAGAAATTGTGTTGGTGTGCAGTAAAACCAAACCAAACAAACAAATGACCATATAGACCAAATACACAACTTGATTAAAGGAAAATTAATTCTAATGTTTATAACTATAAGAGATGGGAAGGTCTTAATATTTTAGTTACTGTTATCAAAAAAAATAACATGTGAATGTCATAAGAGTTATGCACCCAGACATCCGTGGCTAATTTCATTGTTCACTATTTTCACATCTTGAGAAAACCCTTATCAAAGGGTTTGAGAAAATGACTTTATTGATGACTCTATTTTTGTCTTGATAAAATGAATTTAGAATTATGCATCTTAACATAGGATTATATAAATAATACATGTACATTTGTATATATATTTTCAGCCAAAGTATACAAAGGATAATTTCCCAGGTGAAGATGGTAGCTGGTTGATTCTATGTCTCAGTATAACGTCCGGTGTTAGTCGGATCATCTGCGGTAAACTGGCTGATATACCATGGTTCAGTCGTATCAGGATGCAACAGCTGGCGTTCCTCGTTCTCGGCATATCTACAGTGTGTATTCCATTTGCTAAAACTTTTGGGGCACTGATCGGGATCAGTTTAATAATGGGTGTATGTGACGGTGTGTTTGTGTGTCTACTTGGTCCTATAGCATTTGATATAGTCGGTCCAGGTGAGGCGTCACAAGCTATAGGATTCCTCCTGGGTATATTCAGTATACCATTCACTATTGGACCACCTGTCGCAGGTATAGTATGTCTAATATATTTCATAATTTCATCTAATTTGTACACTAAGAAGAATCTTATGCTATTATTTATCTGCATTACTGTCTACTACTGTATAAGGGGAGAAAAGCCAGAAAGAAATGTATAAGAAATTCCTATTAGAAGCCAATATGTCCATTTCCTTTTGAAGAGGAATTTATAATACATGTACTGGCATTATTGAACTTCTGGGGCCTCCGTAGTCGAGTGGTTAAGGTCGCTGACTTGAGATCACAGGTCCCTCACCGCTGTAGGTTCGATCCTCACTCGGGTAGAAATCTTTCATGTGAGGAAGCCGTCCATCTTGCTTACGGAAGGTCGGTGGTTCTACCCGGGTGCCGGCTTGTGCCTGAAATAATGCCCGGAGGGGCACCTGGGGTCTTCCTCCACCAATAAAGCTGGAAAAAAATCAACGAAAAAATCTTGGCGGGACGCACTAGGATGGCCCGACTTGAGTGTACGGTCGCCCATATGGGCTTTCCGGCGGCAACATTAAATAAAGCGTTAAAAAAAAAAAATTGAACTTCTATGAGAGGTTAATGATCTGGCAAGACCACTGCCATTAGTTGTCTGTTCTGCTTCAAACTTCAATTACCAGTCATTTTAACTTTGCAAGAATACATTGTATTATCACATACCCTGTTCTTGAAATACTGTATTACATTATATATAAATGTTGAATATTTAGTTTCCATATGAACTGAAAGGAGATCTTTATAGTCTTAACAAAGCTGTCTGAGAGTTAAGTTAATAATTCATATTAATGAACTTCTGCACATACTAAAAATACATGTATAGTATGAACTAATCATGATAGGTTGTTATGATCTTAAACGATGAGGTGAAAAAATTGATCTTGAATGATGAGGTGAAAATTTATCTTAAACAACAAGGTGAAAAATTTATTTTGAACTATGAGGTGAAAAATTGATCTTGAACAATGAGGTGAAAAATTGATCTTGAATGATGAGGTGAAAAAATTGATCTTGAACAATGAGGTGAAAAATATATCTTGAACAATGAGGTGAAAAATTTATCTTGAACAATGAGGTGAAAAATTTATCTTGAACAATGTGGTGAAAAATTTATCTTGAACAATGAGGTGAAAAATTGATCTTGAATGATGAGGTGAAAAAATTGATCTTGAACAATGAGGTGAAATATTTATCTTGAACAATGAGGTGAAAAATTGTTTTAGTAGTTTAAAAGTCTTTTATATGATAAATCTTTTTGATAATTAATACTTTGCTTTAACTTTTATGAACAGGTCAGTTATATGACACAATGGGCAACTACAACTTGGCATTTCATATAGCTGGAGCGCCCCCTATACTTGGATCTATATTCATGTTTCTAATCCCTACAGTGGAGCAGGTAAAGTTTTACTTCAAGTTTTATATAAATTATGTTATCTGAAATAATGCTTTAATATGGTACCAAATTATAATAATAGAATACCTTTCATAATTGTCACATAGTTAAATGTGTGTGACAAATAAACCCAGCTTTTACCAGTTGTATACCATGCAATATTAATAATTTTTGTGTCCTTGATAACAATTGATATGTGGTATACTTGTCATTTAGATTAATTCATGATACCAGTAAATGATAAATAATAATAATAAATAAATGAAATAAAAAAAGTAACCAACTTTTTTAACCTTGGTGATAATGTTGAAAAACATTTATAGTGACTCAAATTATTGAGAAGTTCTATATCAGAGGGTGATATAAATAAACATAAATCACATCATGTGGTGTAATGTATCAGATATACAGCACTTCATTTGGGTCTGAAGTCCTGTCCTTCATCAAATCATAGTCACAAGTCTATTTCACATAACCCTTGAACGATTTCAATTTTTTTTTTTCAATGAAAAAAAATGTTTACATAAACATACAAGATATAGTATATATAATGCGGCAGTAAATAGATTGTTTTTGGCAAAATGACAATCTCAATAAGATATAGAAAAAGATGACATAGATTACGATTTGGTTACATGTTAATTAGATGATAATTACATCTGTAGTACAACATTAGTGTAACATGAGTTTTAATGGGAACATCTGATTACTAACATGATTATGTTAATTTTTATCAATTTAATCATTTGACCACAAACAGAACATTTGGGAGAAGTTTTTCATACTGATAACCTGTTTTATGTTTGATATTTTGCTATTATTTTATCACATTATAATTTTACCATTTAAAGTTCTTTGTACATATGGTTTAAATGATAATTGTTTTGCACACAAAAATGATTTAGTGTTCACCAATGAAATCTCTCCAATCTTCAAAAAATGCTTCTCTTAATCTAAACTCAGGCAAATTTTGTCACTTATACACTTAATATAATCAGGAGTTTTGAATGAAGTTCCTAACCTTATTAGGACGACATAACATTGGTAAAATTCTAGATAAGTACTTGGTCCATGTGTCTTCACTACAGTAACTGCTTTTAATGTTCGGTTCTATTTTAACAATTAAGAACCCACGGTCACTCCCTACCGGACACTTCCTTTTGGGTTCTTATTGTTAAAATTTCACTTAATAAACAAAAATATGTAGTAGTAGCTAGAATTCCTCCGAACTTGACGCCTTCAAATTTCTTAGCCAGATTCTGGTATTTTAAGTTAGTATCCTTTCAGTATAACACCTGTTGTAATAAGTGATTTAGTGAGAAACTGGCAGCCAGTCAACTATGTTAGTATATACTAGTTGTTGTTCTATTATGTTCTTCTCCATTGATAATATATCATAGGTATTACATAATATTGCTAGTTGATATAAAATTTTGATTCCTTCAATCAGTATTTGTGGGGAAGTTGTTTTACACACCTGGCCTTAAAGAAACATGCCTCATGATTTATGTTAATTTTCATGAAAAATTTAAAAAATGTATTTTAAAGTAAAATATAGTGAAGTGAATAAAGAAAATAGTTAACAAATTGCAAACAGCACTTGCAATAAACATAAATAACCAAAAAGAGGTCAAAACCTTACTGCATTAGTATCACTGTAGGAAAATGGTGATAATTTTTTTAAGCTGACCTATAATTCACATAGTCTGTTTTCCAAGAGTATAACTTGAATATTGCCATATGGTCACCTTAGTGCAATAGCTAGTTAACTTCTATTTAATTTAGAAGGACTTAACCCATTACTGCACTAAGGTGACCATATGGTTTATTTGTATCATAGTTTGGGGACCTTTCAGTTGAAAACTTGTCAGAGTTAAATCGTATGCATATACATGTACAGTGCGTTAACTAGAGTGCACTCCAGAGCATGCCCATTGATTGGCTCATTTTTGCTGGGGTTTACTTGTTGTGACAGCAGTAAAAGGGAAAGTGGCAGAAAAATGATATTTAGATGCTCGTTCATTGGTTACTTTTTTCTGTGGTTTCTGTGACAACAGAGAACGTGTTTTTATGTTTGACTATGATACAAGAGAGAAAGAACATCAAAACACCACCTCAATTTGATTAATACTAGGGGGCTACACTCCCTCGTACAAATCAGATAGCTCCGTGTTTGGATGCTCTTTCTGTTACTTACATAGGTAACTTAAAGAATAGGGTATAATAATGACATATAAAATGATGATCAACACCTCATTATACCTATGTGTGTTAATTAGATAGTACATGTAGTATATTTGATATTTTTGACCAAGAATAAAGCAGATAAGAGGGATCTAAACTAGTCATAACTAGATTACTTAGCTGTATTAAAATCTGTAAAAAGATAAAGAACTGATTTCATAACCGTAGATATAAGCTTGTCATTATCTATGTTTGATATTCAAAAAGTTGATAGATTATTATATAATTGTTTTCAGAGTTTCCCAGCAGTTACAGAGACTATGGAGTTTGCATCTATGTCTGTCGTGGATATATATGATGCTGTAAAAGGTAAAATTTACCATTATTTTTTAATGCTATAATAAGAATCTTTGTTCTATACTCTTGCTGTAATTAGATCAGTCTCTGTCTTGCAATAATTATATTTATCTCTTCCTTTGGTCATTGTTCTGCCCTCAAATTTTGAAGTACATAAAAACTGTAATTGTATAGTGACATGATATTTTCTCTTTTGTAATTCATCAACAGAACAAAAGTTTATAAGAATGTTTTTCTTTACTTTTTATACAGTGCCATCAAAGCCAGTAGTAAAGGATTCGAAAAATAACGTTCCTTCTGGCCCGTCAACAGAAATCCAGATTTTGACATCGCAGGAGTTAATCTACCCTGACAAACAAGGAGGTCCTGATGAAGAAAATCACCATGGAGATAGTTTACATGACGAACCTCATGTGAAATTTTCTGATGTGAAGGTATATGACTCTGATATAGATGAAGATATAGTCAAAGACAACGAGGAAGATATTGAGAATCAGTCTGAAAATACCAATGCAAATTCCAACGATACTGAAGCTGAAGGTGTAGCAGAGAGAGAGGAAGTTGTAAATGAAGAGACAACTCTTCTGAATGAAGTTAGTAAACTTTTACATTCTAGAGTGACTTTTGACAGCAACGAGCAGACAACATTATAAAGTTGAGGACAAGGTAGTCATAGTAACCACACTGTCTCTGTTTACAACATTATAAAGTTGAAGTCAAGGTCACTGTGACCAGACTGTCTCTGTTTAAAACAGCTGATAGTTAAAGCTTATACATGGCAACTTAAAGTTTTAAGTTGTAGATAGGTGTTAAAACAGACATATTTCGGTTTAGTAAGCATATATGTTGAATATTTTTTAATTTTTCTGAAGATCTCCTTTTGAAATAAAACAAGGTCGCCATTTTAATTATTTTAAGAGTTTGAATGTTAAAAATTTTTGATAGACATTTTTAAAGACATTTTGTGAAATAATGTATGTAGAAACTCATCTAAAGTGAATTACATATGTATGGTGTTAAATTTTACTACTAAGTTTACTAGACAAATTGTGTCTTGTTGAATTAAAGTGTATGATAAGATAAGCTGTAAATTTGGTCATGTTGGGATGGCGGATATTTAAATAATTCATGAACAGGTTGCCTTCTGTGTCAGTTACCTTGTTGTAGGGGTCAAAGTGGAATAAGGAACACGGTGTTAATGTCAATGACTTGCTGTAGAAACATAGGTGATGGTGAAGTTATGTTCTAGTTTGGGGACTAGATAAATATTTTGTACACCTGAAGTAAATGCTAGAGCTCAAAATTGAGCAGTTGACAAAAGTCTTGAAGGTTTATCATAAATTTTCTAGTTCAGTCCTAGTGGAAGACAAATCTTTCCACATAATTTTCTCATTATTTTGTTTAATGAAATATAGACTGAGTTGATGAATATTGAATGATGATAAAAATATAATATATTTCTATTCAAACCGCACACCTTCAGATAAGTTTATAAATTTTCGAAAATTCAAACTAAAGAAGAAAAATGTATAAATAGTTTCAGAAGTATTCACAATTCAAGATCGAGATCGAGCATGTTTTTTCTGTAAAAATGTACAGACTTTACTATAACACCATATTTCTACCATGTTTCAAATAGTGTAAGACTTTTTTTCTGTTGTATTTTGATATCTGTGGTAAGTACCTAGGGCTTGTTAAATCACTACATTTGCTTATTTGAGAACATTTAATAAATAAGAACAATTATTGAGTATTCATAAATGTTTAAACATGAATCTTGGGGAGGGTGCTACTTTAGTTTAAAACAATACATGTATGTAAACATTTTGACAATACAATTTGGATAAAGTTCTGTTAATTTGATATAAGTATAACTAAGTACCGTACACAAATATTTTTTTGATACATCTTGCAATATTGACAGCAATTTAATAAGTTATTAATATTGTATTATATCAAGTTTTGTGAAGATTATATAAGTTAGTATATATGTTAGTTGCTGACTGTACCTCCATGTAGTGTTGGAGTTTAAAAATGATATATAAATATGCGATGAGATTGTAAAAGGAATGTTTAATCAAATACTTTTAGTCTATTGACTGGCATACAATTAGATATTTAGATTTCTAGACAAATTGTATCTTTTTATTTGTTTTTTCTAAAATTACTTTTCTTACAGTCATATTATGAAGTTAGTGATTACCTTAGTGACAGAGTGAAGGACAGAAATTTGCTCTAATGTTGGTAGAGTTTAGAAATTATAGATATTTTAGAAGACATTACTTAGTCTTACTTAGAATTCCAATAGAAAATACAAGCTCAACTTGTTAAGTTTCTTGTTATTGTATTTTTTTCCTTTTTGTATATTTTATTAGAGATGTATTAACTGTTAAGACATATGATAAATTTTTATATGTATATGTTATGTTATATAATAATATTTTAAATATTTTTATTATTATTTGAAGGTGCTAGTTAAAATACAAAGATCAAAATATGTTTTAGTCATATAGTCATGAACTCTAGAAATAAAGATAACATCAGAACTGGTATTAGTTTTTGGAAGCAGATTGGAGCATGGTTCATAATAAGTGTCAATCTTTCTTTTTTATTCAATTTCCAATAAATAATATCATAAGTTTTATACTTAAGATAACACCTCGTTTCCTTATTGTAGAGATACATAGAGGATAATTACTAACTTTGAGTGAAATATAAAATATCGATGGTCTCACTATAAAATGCCGGAGTTACAAAAAGTAAACTTTTCAGGAGAAGGAAAAAGGTGTTTTTCATGATCAATCAGAAAAATACAAAAAACGTTTTGTTTTTTATTAACATCTTATATAGTAACTATTCAATGTATGATCTCAATGTAACGGTAATATCTTATCTTTTGGAAAAAAAGTAGTTTAGGCATTTTATAAAACGTAGGTGCAGCTTCGGCTTTATAAAATGCATAAAAAATTTCCGAAAGTGCATTTTGCAGCAGAAAAATAAAGCTCCGGGTTTTTACTTTATAATTAATGTAGTTTGGTAATCTGATTTTAACACACTTTTGCTGTTAAAAACTGGATTTAAATTGTTATATTCTACAATTGAACTTTTTCTTCAGTTCTACTTGTACCAATGGCTTCATAAATTACACACTTACTAATCAATAGAAAGTACATGATCGGGCATCTTACATAACTATGGCTTCCATTTTTACTAAGTTATTGTCCTTTTCAGCACTCTGAATATGGATATAGTTAACCTAAAAGTATCTGGAGTTCTATCTATTTAGTTCGTCGTCATAATTGTCTGTACAAAGTTCATGATATTGTCAGGTTATATAAATGTACCATTCATTTTCCCAAGTTATTTCCCTTCTAACCACTTTGAAAATAGGGCCTTGTATAGTCGGCCTATTCCAGCAAGTTGGGTGTATCAATTACTTCATTTAATAAGTAATAGCTTTCATATTGGAAAGGTGAATGTATACAATGGTTCTCTGACATTTTTCTTGTGTAAGCGATTACTAGGATCAAGGTCAAGGTTACTGATGTAAATAATTCAAGTTATTTTGGACACGCCTAAGGAAGTCCTCTTCCTTCGTGTTAAGTTAGGGGTCATTTGGGTCAAGGTCAAGGTTACCAATACCAAAAATATATTTTAACACTTTAAAATATGTAACCTTTTTCTTTTGGCAGGTGTCATTTATATTTGCTAAACATAAATTGAGAAGTCTTCTTCCTTTGGATTGAGTTAGGGGTCATTGGGTCAAGGTCAATAGTGATTATTACAGATTTACACAAACTTGCTGATACAGCCTTTATTCAATTACTGGTGTTTTACTAATATGGTAGGATGATGACTTGCGTGGTCTTCTTTCTATGAATTGAGTAAGGGGTCAGTTGTGTCAAGGTCAACAGTGCTTAAATTGATTTTTACACCTTTGCCCATACAGTCATTATTTATCAACATTAGTTTTTCATATTTGGTAGGTAGATCATTTTCATGGTTCTTCCTTTGGATTGAGTAAAGGATCAATCGGATCAATGTCGGCACTGCTTAAAAAAGATTTTTACGCTTTTGTCCATACAGTCTTTATTTATTGAATGATGTCTTTTATATTTGGTAGGAAGTTAGCTTGCTCGGTCTTCTTTCTTTGGATTAGTTAAAGTTCAGGGGTGCCAAAATAGATTTCAAGCATTTGTGTATACAACAAATTTATTTATTGTTGATATTTTTCATAGTTGAAACGACCATACCTTGTATGGTCCAGTGTTAAGAGTCACAATGTCAAGGTCATCTGTGCTCGTGACAGATTTATCTTTTTACAGCATTTTTATATAGCCTTTGTTCTTTTTACCTTTGTCTCATATCTGTATTGAACACATCTCAGTAGGTGTTTTAAGTTTGGGTCACTTTGCTCAAGGTCATGGTCTTACATTTGCTTTTGTATATATTTAATAATTTTTATTCATCAAATAGCAATGACATTCTAACTTATATTTTTCACTTTAAAAAAAACGTAATGACAAAGTCAGGTTATATAACTGTTTACACTTTCTGGGGCAATATTTCTGTCCATAACTGAGTGATTTGTTAAGCCTTTTTTTTTAATTTGTAACTGACAAGAATTGTGGCTGAGGACATTTGTGTTTACTAATCATGTTATTGTGTTTAATTTTCCTGCTCACTTGCATGAACTGTACGCCAATAATCATACTTCTGTATAATTTTCATTTCAACCTTTGCTATTTGATGTTTAACATCAGTATTTATTTGTTTGGGTCATGAGATCAAATAATGGTAGCGAAATTTCAGACCCTGATATACTTATTTGCAAAATCTGAAAGGAGTCTGAAATCCTCGAAACGGTTACTTCCCTTTTAAGTATAAATTTTCAAGCCTTCTCGGGGAAAAAATTACTTCCCGATTGGTCAAAGATTTCTAATATTGTGTAATTCTTTACAGGTATGCATGCTTATATTTAGCTCTATGATTATTTACTTCAGTGTTGAACAACAAGTTTACCGTGAACAAAATATCTCGAAATTTATAAGGATTACAAACCCTAATTTAGAATAATTTGGTTTTCTTCAGGCACTAATCTTATTACTTCTGTGGCCGAGGGGTTACACGCTACTTTAGTAAGCGAGAGGTCTGAAGTTCAAATCACAGTTAAGGCAGCTCATGTCGTTGTTTTTGTTTTTTTAAATTGTTTAAGCCAAATTAACATTGAATTGAATATCAGTGTTGCAATTAGCCTTCTAGCCAATTTACCACAGTTACAACACTGGTGGCACTATACAGAAACAAATGACCTTCACCTTTCTGACATTCTGAGACCCAAACAAATTCAGCGCCTTCTGTGCTTTGATTATTAATGCATTGTTCTTTAGATAAACTGCATTTGTAACATACCCGTGCCGTTTTTTGCGACTCCGTAAAAATAGCATTAGAAGGACGTGCATATATTTTGTATGTGACTATAGGCGCGTCAATGAAAAACGGTTCTTTTTCACTTCAAACGGTCTGAATAGTAGGAACATGTCTACATGTTTAATAGCCCTAATGAGGGTACAAAAAATGATATTTTGCTATCAAATACGGACAAGTGACAGGGATGAAGGATTATCCCTAAAAGTGCTGTTATGGCAGCACAATCAGGACGACCTGGTCTATTTTTCATAATAACTTTGAAAATAGTTCTACAACGTGGTTTCAGATGTAAACCTAATTATAATGGAGAGCTGCAAACATGAAGCCCAGACCCGATATTTCAAATGTCACGGAGTTCTTGTGATAACTCAAAATATGTCCTGGAGGTCTGATGATATCTTTTGTTACTGCCAGTGTGTTTCTTGTGCTTAATTACGACACGTTTAAGCGTATTTTATTATTTGCTAAGTGTATAAATCATCATGATTTAGGTCGACTTGATTTATTGAAAAAAGCCAACAACTCTAGTCATTAAATAACTATCTTTTTTGATTTTTAGTTTCTTAGCATCAGTTAGTCTGTGAATTCTTATTATTGTGTTCGAGGTCCTTACCCGAAGACTGACGGAAAGGGCCGATAAGATGCGAGTGATGTCAGCTATGATCTTAATTTTTAACAACTTCCATTTTTTGCCGTATATTAAATGAGGGGTTAGTTTATTTGTTTCAATGTCATTCTCAGAATCAATATCTCCTGAGTAGCTCAATGTTGAATAGTCAAAACCGTTTACAGAATCCTGCGACATGCTTTTATTAATTAATTAATATTCAACTAATATATTTGAAGTTTTTATGCCGATTCGCAATTAATCCAATGGGCTTCGATGTTGAAATGCCATGGAAAAGCGAATGTAAGACGAGTTTCTTATGAATATAAAATACCGAAGTTGCAATTTTCTCTCCACTTTTTGTTAGATATACAATATTTCAACACCGGAGCTACATCATATGTAGCTACGGTATTTTCTAATTCAAAAGTGTCGGCCAATGAAAGTTCGGCTTTTCTACATGTGATGAATTTTGAAGGTTGTGATTGGCTGACTTCAATATGAGTCAGGCAAAAGAAGCGGGAGCTCTTGAAGCTTCGGAAATTTCCAAAAACGCAAAATCGAAAACAATGTAGGTCCGGCATTTTATAGTGAGACCATCGATATATCTCACTGAGAACTAGATATTTTATTTATTTCACAAAAACAGAAAACATTTAAAAAAAATCACAGTGAAATATGCTATTTACTAATGCCTATGATGTCTCAATGTAAATAAATAATTTAGAACATCCATAAATTAAAGATGTCAGATTCATAAATTAGAAGTATGAAATAAATCACATTAAATTTATCATTTGTTTCCATAGCTTGTCTGATTAAAAAAAAAAAATCAAGTTGTTATGATCTCAGTGTATCATCATTGTCATCCCAGTGCAGTTATTTTAATGTAGCCTATTATTCAAACATTATTCATAGGTACATTTTATCAAAAGAAACTTAAAATACTTGATAAATATATCAAAGTACAGTTGGAAGACATGGGACATTATCCTGAGAGCAATATTTTTAGGAGTAACGTCCCTTGAATTTTTTCTAAAAAATCGATAAATTATAAACTGACAAGTGTTATAACTGCCTGATGTGCTCTTGTTAAGTCATCATGGTATTTGAACTATTATTCTGTATCTAAGTCATCTAATGATACATGTATATTTATTTAGCTTAGATACTAAAATATAATATATGTGAGATATCAGTCATATTGCATTGTTTGAAGCCAAGTGAGATATTTTAAATTTCATCATAATTCTTGAATTGAAAGCTTCGTAATGAGATACCGTAAAATTCCTAATAAACGCCCCTCCCCTAATAAAAGCCTCCCAGGCTTTTCGATATGGAGAAAAATCTGCTCATCAGTGGTGAACTGTCTTAAATAAATGCGTAATTTTATTCAAATCCTTCAGAATCCATTTTATTTCATAATAAAACACAAAATGTATCACATGAACTTTAAAATCTTAACACATTTTAATGTTATTGCCAACATTTGTTAACACTAAATGTATTTTCAATGATTTTTGGATTTAGGATAAAACATGTTGTAATAATAGCCCCCCTTTTGGAAAATGTTTAGCCCCCGGGGGCATTTAATAGAAATTTTACGGTATATTTCATACTGACTGACAGCAAAAAATTTTTGAATTTAGAATTTTTTTAAGGATTTTTCTACTGAATAGCATTTGGTTTATATATAATTTATTTTAGTTCGATTGTGTAGGAAGCTATAAGCTCAAAGACACACTTTTGAATCTGTTTCTGGAACCAACCAGTACTGAGCAATGAGTGTAAAGTTTCTTGCTCAAGGAAACAACGGCTGGCCCCTGACAGGGTTTGAACCCATGCGGCTAGTATCATAAGATTACTAGTCTGTTGCATCTGAATAGCATTTATTAATAAATTATGTTCATTTAATAATACTGGTACATTATATTCACAGTAGGTGAATACTTTTTTATTTATTTAACTTTTATAATAACAATGAAATTGGCATTATTTTGAAAATTACAATTTTTAACATTTTTTAATGTTACCTCTCTAGATTAGAATTTTAAATAAATCATCAAAACAAACTTCATTGCCATAAATTGTGAGTTTGTTTTTGTTTTGGGCATTGTAGAATTATTATACTCAGATTAAAAATTTTAATATATGGCTGGAAATTCATAAAACTCCATTTATACATATATAAACTTGTATATAGTCTGATATAAGTCATATATTTGTACACATATTTTATTGTACATTTATGTCTTGTAAACAAATTGTTTTGTATATCATCAAATGATTTTCTACAGCATTATAAACCCTATCAGATGATGCCTTACTGAAAGGTTGTTTATGTATTTTGTCTTTAACTTAATGAAATGTTGCCACGGTTTCAATGTATTAGAAGAATTGTTTAATGTATTATAAAGGTTTTCATTATTAAAGAATAAAAGTCATTATAAATGATAGGATATATTGAAATCAGTTTTAATGAAATGATTTCCAACCAAATAAATACACACATGTTTGGCAAGGGAAAATAGAGCATAATTAATTTTGCTCTTTCAGTAAAAATGAATACCTATGTATCTTCAATGAATTTCCTTGAAAAGACCATACATCGTTTTGCGGGAAATATTAAAATATTTACTGACTGAATATCATACAGTACAGACCATGATTGTATTGCATGGTGGTCATATAGGTAGTTAGCAGATGTAGGGTTAAACTACAGCATTTTGATACATGAACCATTTATACTGTAAAATTTATATTATTTGCATCAGATTAAAACAGACTTTGTTTTTTATACATTTCTAAATAAGTGTATGCAATGCAGTAAATTTCCTTGTTTAGATTACAATGTTGATAAGCTTTTTGTTGATGTTCACCAATCACAGTCTAAATTTAGTCTCAATGTTTTTAAGGTCAAGGAAGGAAAAGATAAATAATTGATAAACAATTGATATTTTTGTCTCTGTATCTGATGCACAATTAAACTATGCTATGTTATTTGACAAAATGTAAATTGTTACCTTCCATGCCTTTCATTATAGTTAATTTATTGAGTATACTTGTTTTAGATATATTTGATCTTTTCACACTAAATTTTGTAAATTAAAGTTGCCCTGCTGTATTGGAATTATGAATGTAAGGGATTCTAATAACATTTTTTAAAGATTGCATAAGAGATTGTCAAACAAACTTCACATCAGGTGATCATGGTTCAATACTGATGGTAAACTCAATGGATTGAGGAAGTACAGAGTTAATGTTGTTTTACAGTCTATCTGTATATATTTCACTAGTATGTTTCTGAAATATATATATTACCTTCCACACCTTTTCATTGTATTTAATATATGTAATGTTTTAAACTTCCATACAACAACAAGAATTTCATTGGAATTAAATTGTCATTCATCAGCAGATGGTGATGAAATTTAGTTAAACACAATTGAATTTATACGTTTTGATGTTGCTATGGAAACATTTTTATAAATCACATTTAGTGTATATAGCAGTAGATGATGTGTGATTATTGTCTGGAAAAAATAATAATGTGTGAATCACTGCTTCCACTGGCTGTGTGTATAAAAAAATACATGACAATGATTATATTCTATGTACTTGCATATTTCGTCACCAGTTAGTGCAGTGATGGGTTTACTCCTATAAAAATAGGAGTTGGCCTGTTACTGCACTAAAGTTGTGATTGTATATATATTTTTATAAAAAAACAGTATTTAGTAAAATAGGTAAATTAATATAAATAAATAAAATCGTAATGTTTTGATCTCTTCTTGATAGAAAATAAAAATAATTTAATTGGTAAAAATGAACGATATGCTGCTGCAATAATTAGATTTTGAAAATCTTGACTTTCACTATTTATATTTAAATAATCAAAATTATACTCTGTTTAACATGTACAATAAATTGATACAATTACAGTAAGAGTTTTTATGATGGTTATCTTATTGAAGATTTATTTAAAGTGACATTATGCTCAATTTTTTCATTGTCAAGGTGAACAATATATTTCAAAAGATCAACTGTTATAATGATGATTGGCCAACAGTAGATATAGGAAAATGTTGAGGATAATATATAAATCTGCCTAAAATATAAAAAGACTGCCCCACACTTTAAAAATTGAACATGAATAGGTTATTTCTAATGGATAATTAAGGAAATTTCCTTGGGCCAAGAAACATGTTATTTATTGTTCAGACAAAGTACATTGGAAGATGTAAACATACTTTGAACTCCCTATATAGCTTTGAATGAAGATAAAGCCACTTTAAGTATATATATATTTTTTGTAATATTGTCAGCATTTTATGAAAGTTTTGTGATAAGGAACAAAGTGCAACTTATCATTAGAGTGATAATTGTTAAAACTAGTATTGTTAACTTGAACTGTGATAATATATATTTGTTTGAATGTTAATAGTGATGTAATATTATTAATAAGTATATTTGATGACTTGATTTTATCTGCTTTCCTGAAAATATATGTTTTAATGTAATGGTATATAGATGTTTTATTATTAATAAGTATATTTTGTTGATTTGATTTTATCTGCTTTCCTGAAAAAATATGTTTTAATGTAATGTTTTATGATTTTTATGCTTGAAGTATATTTTTAAAAAGTTGCATTTACAATGTATTTCTATACATAAATTGGCTTTTATTGTTTATTAAGTACATCAGGACCTTACTGTTTAGTCTTTGTGACTCTTCAAGTGAAATTTGCTCATATTAAACCAACTGGTCACTTAAAATGGTCCAAAGAGCTAAAAAGATGATGCTTGAGGATAATGTAACTTGATAGATGGAAAACTTGTAAAGTAAGCAATGACACCTTGACATTCATTATACATTTGTATTGTCAAACTAATTTGAGAATAAATAAATTATAAAAGATAAAAATAAGAATTTAACATCAAAGTTAAATGTAAAAATAATTTGACAGATGGTTATCCTTATCAAAGGTAGTTTGCCATGGAATATTTGACAGAGTGTTTTTCCTTGTCTAGTTGGGTTTTGTTCCACTTATAAAGTGAAGAAAGGTGATTTTATGTTGACAGCCTGTTTGTTTTAGGATAGCAAGTGTTATAGGAATAACCAGCTTGTGGCAAGTTATGTGAAAGATAACCAATGTGAAGATAGCTTGATATGTGAGAATAACTGGCCATGTGATACTAGCTTGCCATGTGATACTAGCTTTGCCACATGATACCAGCTTGCCATGTGGTGCTAGGTTGTCATGTAATATTAGCATGTCATGTGATACTAGCTTGCCATGTGATACAAGCTTGCCATGTGGTGCTAGGTTGCCAAGTGATACTAGCTTGCCATATGATACTAGCTTGCCATGTGATACCAGCTTGCCATGTGATACCAGCTTGCCATGTGATGCTAGGTTGTCATGTACGAGGGCTGTTCAAAAAGTTCGTGGACTGCGGCTCTACTGTTCACATCTTTTAATTTGCGTATATGATTTTACAAGAGACATATATGAAAATATGTCCTTAATAAACAGTGAAAAAATCAATACAATATGTTTACAAATAAAATTTCTGTGACAGTTACAAATCACAAGGGGTGCACAATCCGGCGCACGCTGATGATGAAACAAAATGACGTTCGTGACGTTGCAGTATAAATGAAACATTTTACCAGCGTCATTGTTTCTGAAAGTACTCTTTTTTAGTGTTCAATATCTGCGGATGATATACCAAAACCATTTTTCTGTTTGCGATGATGACCCGAGATATAAAGTGGTCATCAATTCGCTCCATTCTCCGTATAAAGGTCCGAGTGCCGCATACTTTCCGCTCTTTATCGGGATTTTTGAGTAATTTAGACATTAAACGGACAGTGTTAATAAGTTAATTCAATTGTTGATTGATAGTATCAATTTGAAACCGCCCTCGTCCGATCTTTAAACAATATGATTATCGATGATAAAGAAATTATTTTATCAACTGACAATTATTCTATGCGGTAAATCTACTGAACACCGGCTAGCATTAATTATCAAACGGACCAGGGTAAATACAGGAAATACAAATAGAACTACAAGTATCTATTGAAAATACGCATATATCCTGATGAATGACATAAAATATTATTTTGATTAAATTAAATTGTTTTGTCAGAATTGAATGCATAGACCCGATGCAGAAATTAAACATGTCGGACATCTCGCAAAACTGTCATAATGCCTGAACTTTTGTAGATCTTTTGCAATTGACGTTACAAACGTCCCAACAATTTGCCGCTAAAATTATTCGTCGCCCTTTCTGTCTGTGAGCATGTATTTGCCGTATTTGAATCGCTTGCGCGACCTGAAACCAAGAGACTTGCTCAACAACTCATTGTTTTTCGTTAATTTAATCACCTTATAAAAATATATAGGAGTATACCACATATATTGGTAAAAATTTCCAAAAGAGCGAATTTCTAGTTTTTAAACGGGGTTTTTACTTCCCAACTTACCCGTCTGTCTACTGCTGCTCAAAAAAACTTGTTTTGTTCAGCTATTCAACGTCCAAACGAACGCCAAAAGTCAGATTTATGTCATTTAAATATTAATAGATGATTACTTGTATTTAACTTCATAAAACAATCATTTAATTTGTTTCCAACATTTGTTTATATTTAAAACATTATATGAAAATTTCGGGTGCGCCGATGTTGCGTTGCCATGGTTTATTAAAGTGCACATAACTCGTAAAGGAAATAAAAGTTAACAATAAAAGTAAATCTTACTTTTGAAAATAAAGACACTCTTTCGATTCATATCCACTATGGGTGTTTTTATGAACCAAGTAAAAAATGACAGCAAAAATCCACGAACTTTTTGAACATACCTCGTAAGAATAGCTATTTATGTGATGCTAGGTTGTCATGTGATACTAGCTTGCCATGTGATTCTAGCATGCCATGTGATGCTAGGTTGTCATGTAAGAATAGCTGGTTATGTGATACTAGCTTGCTATTTAAGGATATTTGTACATCTGTGGCCAAGTGGTTAAGGTTGTTGAACCAAACCACTTTCAATTCACTGCTCAGGTTTCAAATTCTGTTGGTACTTTTGATTTTTTAATGTGAGGAAGCTTTCGAACTAGCTTACATGTTGGATATAATACATAGAGGGGCACCTGAGGTCTTCCTATACCAGTAAAGCTGGAGAGTTGCTATATGACCTTTAAATGTGTGATTGTGTCTCCCCAACCCCTACCCCTAAATCTATGTGGAAATATATTGTTATGTGAGTATAGAAATTAGGTGATATAAGCTTGCTTTGTGATACTAGCTTGTGTTATGAAATACGTAATCTGGTTATGTGAAGCTAGAATGTCATGTGTTACAAGCTTGCTTTGTGATGAAATACATATATTGTACTACAGTAAACTCCGCATATAATAAACTCATTGGAACATTCAAAATCTGTTCCTTTTATCCCCGAGTTCCTTGTAAGCATATAGCGAATTAGTTCCTTGTATCAGGAGTTTTTATAGCAAACAGATTTACATATAATGGACTGATTGTTTACCAACGTCAGCCATTTTGAAGAGCATTTGATTAAGAACAATTAGTCATTTATTTCTTTTTTAGAGAGCGTACTTTTTGGAATTTGAAAATCCTTTGCTATTTCAGTTTTAGTTTTACTCCTTTTCTCAATTTCTCATAAAATATCTTATTTTGTTTCTAAACTCAGTGCTTTTCCTTTTCTTTCCATGATTAAGAATAAACAAGATTTTCGATTTTTTCTACCTTTTATCTTGAATATCTTCTATTATATGTTAAGGGTGACTTTTACTAATGAAAGATATAGATTTCTTTTCATTTCAATCAATTGTACTTTGTAGTTTTCAATGGATTATGTTTGCAAGCATGCATGATTATGTTGAAAACCTATTATAAATGATCATAATTATTTTACTCGAGCAAAACTATTAAAGAAAAGAAATAATAGAATTAAAGGAATAACCGTTTTATCTTGGTGACAAGAACTCATGCTGAAAATATTCTAAATAGAAAACTATTACAAACTGCTATACAAATTCATTTTCATAGATGTATTGAAGTACAATATTTGGTAAATTCTGCTGAGTTTAAATCCTTGCCAATGAAAACAAAAGTTGAAAATGCGGGATATGTTTACGGATAGCCGATATTTTGGAGTTTGTTATAAAAGTGTAATTTTCTGCACTTTTAACTAAATTGGGACTAAGAAATGAGTTCCTTATAAGCGATAATTCCTTATAACTGTGTTCGCTATAACTGTTTTTTTTTATATTAAATAAAGAAGGGCAAAATTTGGGCCATAATAAATTGTTCCTTATAACTGGAAGTTCGCTATAATCGTGTTCGCTATTAGTGATGTTATGTGAGGCTGCAATGTCATGTGATACCAGTTTCTTTCGTGGTGCTAGTTTGTAATGAAATACATTCTATCTGGATATGTGATGCTAGAATGTCATGTGTTACAAGCTTGCTTTTGTGATTCTAGCTTTTTATAAAATACATATTATCTGGTTATGTGATGCTAAAATGTCATGTGTTACAAGCTTGCTTTGTGATTCTAGCTTCTTATAAAATACATATTATCTGGTTATGTGATGCTAGAATGTCATGTGATACCAGCTTGTAATGTGGTGCTAACCTGTTATGTGCCAATTGCTTGCATTTTGTTATACTAGCCATTTTCATAGATAGCTTGTTATCTGATACCAGTCTGTTATGTGAGGAAAGCTTGTTATGTGATAGTATCCTGTTACTTGGAGATAGCTTGTAATGTGGTGCTTGCTTGTTATTTGATTTTGTGGTGTTATTTTGTTGTGCATTGATAATGTATTATTTCATCAAAATTTGTTATGTTTTAAACACATGAATAATTTGCCATTTATATGCCAGACTGTTGCCATTATATGGTTTTCTGTTGAGGTTGTTGTTTTCCCTGCTAAATTAATGGATAAAATTACCACTTTACCAATTGGCGAACTTTTTGCTCAATAAAAAAGTTCAAGTTGGAAAATAAATTAAAATAAAATATTTTGCTAAATCTTAACCCTGTTCTTAATTGTATTGGTTTTTCCCCTTTTTGATACAGAAAAAACTTTTGCCGGCTTTTGGGTTTTTAAATTCCCAAAAAAGAAAAAAATTGTTTCATACATTTTCATACGGGATGCAAGGAACCTTCCCTCTTTAATGAAAAAATTCAAATTTTGATGGTCTTGGCCGTCCTTGGGGGGGTTTAATCAACTTAAAAAATCCAGGTTTTTGGGTTTTTTAAATCCCCGGGAAATTTTTTTGGTAATTTCCCAAAAAACTAAGGGTTTTAAAAAAAAAGGGGAAAAATTTCCCCTTTTATTATGTTTAATTTTTAAAAGGGGATTAAAATAAAAAAAACCAAACAAAAAATTTAAATTTACCTGGCTTTGAAATTTTGAATTTTGTTTGACCCCTTTTTGAAAACACATTTCCAAAACCCCAATTTGTTTAAAAAATTTTTTAAATCCTTAAATTTTGGTTTTTTTCTTTGAAATTTTTTCAATAACAATTATGTTTTTTAAAAAATTTTTTGAAAAAACTTGTTTTTTAAAAAAATTTCCCCAATTTTTTAAAATTTTTATTAAATCCAAATTTCATTTTTTTTCTTAAAATTTTTTAATGCAAAAAATTAATGAACCCTTGTAAGTTTTTTTTTTTTGTAAAATTTTGAAATTAAAAAGTTGAAATTTTGGAAATTTCCCCTGTTTGGGTTTAAATTACCCAACACCTTGCCTTTACCTAAAAAAATAATTCCCAAATATTTTTTAAATTTCCCCTTTTTTAAAAAACTACTTTTGTTGGGTTTTTTTCCATTGAATTTTTTTATTTTCAAACCTAAAAAACAAAACCTTTTTAATAAAAAGGGCTTTTTAAGAACCAAGCCATGACTAGTTTCTCTGTTCTTGTAAAACGGGAGTATGATAGCCCCACTATTCTTTAGTTTAGCTCAAAATGCCTACACCCTCATCTTGCATAGTTTTCTTTCTTTAGACATACAAATTATATTTATATAAGAACAACAAACATTATGATATCTTGTAAAAAGTTTATTGTGCTATACACATAAGTTTCAGAATTAACAAAGTCTGCAAGTATGTTGAAATACATATAACCACTGTGGCTGAATTAAACTTTACCACAGAAACATAAATGTAGTTTACCTTAGCAGCTGAAAAAATCAATTACCACAATAGCTGTTGTTAAGATTACCACAGGAGCTGGTATTTAGATTGCCAAAGCAGCTGATTTATAGATTACCACAGCAGCTGATTTATATATTACCACAGCGGCTGATTTATAGATTACCACAGCAGCTGATTTATAGATTACCACAGTGGCTGATTTATAGACTACCTCAGCAGCTAATTTATAGACTACCTCAGCAGCTAATTTATAGACTACCTCAGCAGCTAATTTATAGATTACCACAGCAGCTGATTTATAGATTACCACAGCAGCTAATTTATAGACTACCACAGCAACTGATTTATATATTACCACAGTGGCTGATTTATAGATTACCACAGCAGCTAATTTATAGACTACCACAGCAACTGATTTATATATTACCACAGTGGCTGATTTATAGATTTCCACAGTGGCTGATTTGTAGATTACCACAGCAGCTGAGTAATAGATTACCACAGTGGCTGATTTATAGATTACCACAGCAGCTGATTTATAGATTACCACAGCAGCTGATATATAGATTACCACAGCAGCTGATTTATAGATTACCACAGCAGCTGATTTATAGATTACCACAGCAGCTGATTTATAGATTACCACAGCAGCTGATATATAGATTACCACAGCAGCTGATTTATAGATTACCACAGCAGCTGATTTATAGATTACCACAGCAGCTGATTTATAGATTACCACAGCAGCCGATATATAGATTACCACAGTGGCTGATTTATAGACTACCACAGCTGATGAATTACAGATTACCACAGCAACTATCATATACAGACAAAAGTTTGCTAAAAAGAAAATGAAGTTTACCACAGCTGCTGAAATAATTGACAAAGTAAAGACAATCATTTCATTCTTGGATTTAATCTCTTAAAGGACAAAAAAACTAACTCTTATCATGATGAATGGTCCACCAGCTAACAATTTTAAATCTGTTCTTTATTAAGAAAATCAAAATGTAAAAATTTGAACAGTCTTTACCAACAGTATATTGAACTTAATCAACCTGCACCGATTTGCAATCTGTTACACTCTATATTGTTCACAGACCAAATAGAAACATTTCATATGTGAAAACAAAAAATTTGTTTGGTAAACAATCATGCCTAAAAAAACCTTTATAACATGATCATGGTTATTCCAATTCATATGACTTGGCTGAAAGAATGGACTCTGAAAATGATCACTAGAGATTGTGTCAAGAGATTTTGTATTCATCATTAAACTTATAAAATGTGAGTGCTAAATGTAGACGGTGAAAACATTTAACTTGCAGGAAAATGATAACCAATACAATTAAATGGTTGACAGGTCAATAGAAGCTGAAAACTATCCAACTTGCCAATAGGGTTTACAAATTCAGGAAAGGGTGATTAATCTAGGAATATCACTGACAAGGTAATGTAACCTGACAGTGTAATAACCTTTTGCATTTTGCAGTACAAATGTAGGAAGCCATCAAAATTGCTGAAAAGGGATTACTGTACCTACTTTTAAATGGGACAGGGGAGGTTTTATTTTTGGTGGATTTTACATTGCACCAACACAGTCAGTATAAGTCATATGGCGACTTTTTAAGCTTTACTGGTGAAGGAAGACCTCAGGTGCCCTTCCGTGCATTATGTCAGGCACAAACCAGCACCTGAGTAGAACCACCAATGTTCCATAAGCTAACTGAATAGCTTTCTCACATGAAAGAATCCGAAGACACAAGAGACAAAATGGGGGCAAAGCCCCACAGTTATGCAACTTATCATGATCATGGCCTTTGTAAAGTATGGAGACATTTGTTCTAGAAGAGAAGAACTTAGAAAAACTTGCCGAAATAGTTTAACCATACAGACAGACGGTTCAATTACTATATGTCATGGGGCATAAAAATCATGTTGCAGAGGAAAACTTGAATGCTGATCATGCATTACAACATGAAATAATTATTTTACAAAATTATACACTTACATACAAATGTATATTTAAATGTGTATTTTGTACATATCAACAATGTGACATGGTTTCATGACATGAAAAAAAATGTATTTTTGTCAATATCTAGATCAATAAAACAATAAAATCAGAAATCAAACTTAGTATATTTAAAGCAGGTGCTCTCTCATTGTGTTAACTGATAACAATTTCTGCTTGAAACTGTTGGATCTATTGTCTAAATACCAAAACAAGAAAATGCTTTGCCAGATTAAAAATCATGAAAATAATAGTGAGTGGCACAGATTCCAAACAAAGAATTTTCAATTTACAATAGGTAATATTCATAGATTTCACCAGTAATGAGAAGTGTCTACAAGAAGAGTAACTATATGAATTCATGAGAACTTCAAATTAGCCTTTGGCCCAAAATAAGCGAAAAATGTGTAACTGTAATTATTAACAAAGACATTTTATACAGGCAATGAATCAAAACTAGATTTATAAGTCTAATTGGTTACATTCATGAACTTTAATAATGTTTAGTTTGGTCCAATCACATGACTAGTTGAAGGTATATCTGCATAGCATCCATGACATATTGAAAGTAAAGGTATCAATGCCATGCAAATAAATTGCAAACCCTTAGATTAATTCTTTGAACATTTCATATATGGACATAAAATCTTTTAACACTCACAACTTCTTGCTTAAAATGATTAAAGATCCTGTATGTTGTAACTGAGGTTGTATACAACACTTAAGTGAAATTACATATATGTATATAATTATGCTTATAAAACAATTTTCAAACATCTAAGAATGTGTAAAATATGTACAGTGTAACTTCCGAAAACCGAACACCCATGGGACTTGTCAAAAAGTTCGGATTTCAGAGGTTTCCGGAATTCAGAGGTTTATGATAATGCGGACAAGACTAATCCACTTAATATCACTAAATGTCAAGGAAGAAGTGGCCTTTACTCTAATATCCTATATAATAGTCTTTTATCAAGATAAAGATGTGAATAAAAAGAATACATTTTTATCTTACTTGCAAATGCTTCTGAATTTCTATCAGTTTGTAGAAATGTTGCT